GGGGAAATTGCAGAAAGTGAAGAAAGAATTCACTTAAACGAGGTCGAGGACATGACATGCATGGACATGGTAGGCCTTTAAATAACTGACAACAGCCTCATTCGGTGACATCACGACAATGAAACCTGAAGACACAGGAAACTACACAGGTTCGTCCTCGGGAACGTCAGGATTCGTTGTCCACCCTTTTTCTGTTTTTGTCCAGCCTGTCCCACAATCCCTTCTGGCCACCCTGACCCCTCCCCTCAATGCATCTCAACATTTCTGCCGCTGTTCATGTACATTGTGTAAAAAAAAAAAGGAGGCTAAATAAAACTGTACCATCAGAGGAAATGTGATCTAATAACAGGTAACAGGAACTGGCAGGTTTGGACAAGCACCAGTGCGCTGCCTAAACACATTTGGCTTCAATGCACCAGTTCATTTTTCTGGATGGTTTACTCTTTCAGCTTGTTAGCTGTTTAGTTTTGGGGTGCTGAATTTTTGAAAGCTTAATTTCCTGAAAATGGCTGAGTTTTTTTTTGGGGGGGGGTGGGTCAGGATAATAAATTGTTTGGAATATTTGTACAGAGGTTTAAGAGAATCTTGTTTGAAACTTACGGCAATGCCCCCTTGGAAGGGAGGAGGGATGAAGGTTGAAGGGTCATTTTTGAGGAACAAGGCAAAATTTGCCTCATCAGGCTGACCTTTTTGCTGATATTTGGTGGCTGCAGTCTTTTTCCAGCAATCAGTTTCTGGGAAATTTTTCCCTGGGTGGAAAGCCCCAGGAGTTGTCATGATTCCGGAATTGGTTTGTGAATAAACCATTCCATTGTCCAAGAAGCGACCAGCAGACAATTTCCAGGAAAAACTAGAAATGCCCCGTCTGGAAATCCCTTCTGCAGACGTTGAAGATCTGAGAGGTACAAGGAGGTTGATACAGAGTTCAGGCCCGTAGATACGGACAGACAGGAACAAGTCAATGCCCAGAGCACCATTACTCGCACTTGCCTTCAGATGAAACTCTTCGCCGATGTATTCTTGCGGTAAACGAGAATTCTTTTGGGGGGGGTTGGCGTAGAGGACAGTCGTGCGTGTATGCACTGGACATGTTTGAAATGTTTGTTCAACCACGTCATCTAGAAAGCCGTGCATGCAGCACACATTAATGTGGCTCAGAATTTACGAACATGTTTATATGTCTGCATGTTTTTACCAAGAATCTTTTAATCTTGTACGTTTAATGCATAGGGTTGGTCCGTGTTTATGAAGCCCATTTGCTAAAAGGAAACATGATGAAAAAAATCACATTGATTATTTATCCTAAATATAGCGTCCAGTTTACATCATGTAAATATGTGCCTGGAAGGTAAGAAATTGAAAGCACTTGTGACCAAACAACATGTGGCATGTTTTGACAACAGAATTATAATATTTCCACCCGAGTGGACTAATTTTTTGCTGCCCGGTGATTCATTCTTGGCAATTGACTGAAAGGTGAATTGTGTGGTGATAGTCAATGATGCTTCAAAGTAGTCTGTATCACATGATGGCTGTCAGGATGTGGACAACAGAGGGCTCACTCTGTGATTGATGTGATAAAAGGTTTCAGCTGACTTGCTGATGCTTTTTAGTGTATTGTGTATACCGTGTATTGTACAAGTACATGTACATGAACAGTGTCTGTGCTCATCCATTGTGAGTGCAAGCATGTTGTAAGCACCCTTCACACTATCGTACCATACCTGTCAGGGATACCTAGGGTAGATGCTCCTTTGTTTTTGTGCTAAGAAAACTCAGTGAAAATTACCTTTTTTCTCACACAGTGAACACTGCTTTAAGATGGATTGTTGATGGTTTCCTTGTGTGTGCATAAAATTATGGTTGACCATCGGTACGAGAGTAAAAGAATAACTCACGGAGTGTTAAAAATCCCCTGCAGCTTTCAGGACGCCAGAATTTTAAGCACTAAAAGGAAATGCATCCCTATTTAAAATCGATGAGACAAAGGTCCAGTTTGAGCAACGTGGGGATAAAATTAAAAAAAAAAACACTACCAGAAGGGGATATTTCCGCAAACTCTGGCTGCCCATACAAGTTGTAGGCAAAATGAGAGTGGTCCATTTGGTATTGATTTGGGTGAAACAGCGGTCACAAAGACACGGTATTGCTGCACCGCATCCAATCATAAATAAATTTGCTGCTTCCAAGATCCACCAAGAAACATCCTCATGGCTATGGCATGCAATAAATTTGGAATGAACTGGTTGAGGAAAAAACTTTCCACGGGTTCACGGGTTTACAGGACTGTCAAATGCTGGTATATCCCTAGCCTGTAATGCAAGACATCTGTATCCAATTTGCCTCTCTCAAGTCATCCTCAATAGGGCACAGGATGCAAAGAATCCGCATGTATATTTTTCCTTGCTGTACCACTCCCCCGCTAAACAACTCATCATGATCAGGCCGTGTCCACACACCAGTGAAGCCTCGCCATATTGATGTTCTTTCAGTGGATGGCATCCAGACTGCCCCGCTTGTTTACACGATGGCTGTGACCCGTCTGGCTCCAGGGGTCCAGTCTGGGGGTCACGAATGTTGCCCCTGTGGTGTTTCAGGTGCCAAACGTTTCATGGCTGAATTCTCACGTCTAGACACCAAGCTAATGAGTCAGCTGACAGACTTTTGCTGCAGTGGCCAGGCCAGACCCAAATTACAGGGAGAGGGGCATTTGTTTGGAATTAACTCATTAAAGATTTAAGCCCCCCATTTTCACTGGCACAAGCTGACAGAAACCCCCATAAGTCGCCCAAAACAAAAGTTATGTGGCACAGTGCCAAAATTATTGGGTAGGCATGTAATCATTTTGACAAGGCGCTTTACGTTATCCCTTCCCCCTCCCCTACCCATAGTTTATTGCACCGGAGCCATATCATTTTCAGCAGGGAAAGAGTACGCTAACCTCACAGGCGAGAGTTTCTTCAGAATGCTGTGTTCTCCAAGTTCTGAATTTTGAATGTGAAAGGGAGCGATAAGAAAAAAATTGAAGGGGAAGGGGGGGAAAAGCCTCAGCATGGCCCACTTTAAGGCCTCCATCTTTTTTTAGTTTTGGTCTAGTGCATTTGTGGGCAATCTGATACACGTTTGTTCATCTTCATAAAAATTGGCTGCAGTTTTAGACACATTGTCGTGCTCGTAGGCAGCATTTTTTTTTTTTTGCGCAAGAAGATAAAGTAGCACGGGATGAAATATTCCTGTTTTTGCCATATTCATATGTTTGTAATAGCTGATTCAAAACTCGATTGCTTTTTTTTTCTCCTGCAAGGTGAAAGGCAATTATCTCTCAGATTGGCAGGGAGGGAAATGGCAAATTCTGCCAATTTCAGAATGTTAACTGTAACCATGCATGATTGCTTTCCATTCAGTACTAGTGACTCATTGCCTCCAAAGTGGCTACAAACACCAACATTCCCTTTTTTTCAACAATGGGGGAAGAAAAATCGGGGCCAGAGGTTTTGTGTTCGTTGGTCCGTTTGGCCAAAAAGTCAGACCAGAGGACTACCATACTAATAGAGCTACAAACCCATGAGACCACAAAGCCGCAGGCAAACAAGCAGGGTAAGAGAGACAACATCATTACCAGACAAAAAAAAAGAGGCAGTTTGTGCCTTTTGGGGGGTTTCCACCAAGGCCATTTCTTTTTTCCACCACTGTTTCACCCTTTGGTCCCACTTTGTGAGCCAGACAGTCCACATTGTTTCCTTGTCCATTTTGACGGACAGGTTGCTAATCATAGCCTTGGGGGGAACAGAAAAAAATATGTGTATATAAGTGTGCATAGTGCATTGTCATCCCCAAACAAAAAGTGGACTGGTCATCAGAACAGGAGGCAGAAAAAAATTTCTTGGGGGGAAAGAAATAAAAGACAAGGACAAACAAATTTACTTTCAAAAATATGCCTCCAGTCTGTAAGTACACATTTGCCAGAATTTTAGTGGAAGCTTCAGTGAGATCAAATGAAAGGCCTTGTGTTGTTGAGTTGGAGATTTGGATTTCATTACGTTTTTAACATTTTTCGAGGTTTACCTTCACAGATATGATAGTATCACCCTGAAAAATAGATCTCATGTACAGTGTACATTTCTTCAATTTGTGGCATTGTTTCACAGTGGGTGAGACTGTTGTAACTCAGTACAAATGAACCCGGTTACCGTGGTTACACTCAGCCTAAGAGCCTCTTTTTTCACTCATTCCCTGCCCTTTTGTTCCTGTTCTGCATTTCAAGATAGAGTCCTGCAAAACCACAAAGGTAGGTTTTCTTGGAAGTTTAGACTCATGAAGGCTTCTGTGGGAAAGGTGCCATTTCCTGCACTTGCAGTCACCAGCTGTGGAGGCTGCACAATTCCCATCATTCCTTTCAGCCGTAATGTTTCCCCAGTTTTTTATTGGCATAAGAAAGCAAGGAGCTCATGTAACAGTTTTATTGGTCAGCATATTGATTCTCTCCAATTCAGTGTTCAGCCAGCCTATCTCTGGTGTCCTGTTCTTTTCCCAGCAGCAGGACGGAAATTAATTTGAGTATTGGATTTTTGATCAAGCTCATAACCGGTGTCCAGTCCCTGGAGTAGGTAGGGGCTTTTCCTTGCCTATTATTAAATTGCCCACTTCACTGTGTAATTGGTACAGCACAGTGAGTATGGTACCGATATACACCAAGTGCCCCCATGGTGTACTTTTCTTGAATTTTAAAAGGACAGCTCTTTCCCTGAATTAGCAGATTACATTAGCTGATAACATAGAGCAAGGACATGTAACTGTTTGCTCTGGCTATCTGTTTCTCTGTAACCCGTAGTGGGGTTTTCAGAAGCAAAAGCAAAGAGTTTTTAGTTTGTTGACTGTCACATCTGGAGGCCATTGACCACCATCTCTCCTCTTGATTGGCTGCTGTCAGGGTTTCTGGCTCCACCCCTGCCGGATGACATCACAGGGCTAGTCTTTGTGTTTACGACTCCAGTGAGTCAGCTCACCCTGGTGGCATGTTCCAGTTGCATGTACTTTGCCACGCATGTGGGGGAACACAGCCCAGTCTCATGTGTGTGTACACAGTTTTGTCTATTTGAGCGATTAGAGAGGCTGTTTAGTTTTTGGCCTTTAGCTCTTCACTGGAGAATGCTACAGCAGTTGTTTCTGGGATAAGGTTCTTAGGAATTGAACTTCCTGCGAGAGACATCCTCCTGCATTGTTGGAAAAGGATGCTGGGTAATTGCTGAGGGCATTTCTGCATCAGGACTGTTCACGGCACACCCCTGTTTTGCCACGAGGAGGAGTGAAGCATGATATATGGGTGAATCTCCCACTGAGTAGGTCTGTGCATTATTTATCACCCTGCCAAAGCAGACCGGGCTCTCCTGGCACTTGGGGCACTGGCAGAATTCAATGTCATGTTAATAATATTCTTAGACTGGGGGTTGCCTCCCTGTCTCTGATTCATTGAGGAAGAAATAACCACGAGGTACACTGTACATGTACTCATTAGCATTGGGCCAGACCCCAGACAGTCCAGGGCTTTGTTGCACAATGCCTGATAATAATATTTACATTTTCCACCTCTGGTCTGCCGAAACAATCACCGATGCTGGTCCTGAGTGATATTCTTACAGTCGGTCTCCAAACAATAGGCTGTGGTGGAAGAGTTGAAGAGGATTTGGAGAGGGGGGAGGGAAACACAAGTTGAGAGAATCGACGCGGGGATATGGAATTACACGTAGAAACGATTCAGCAACCTGGCACCAAGATCATTCCGGGTTCGGCCATCCTCCCCATGAAGGGGGAGGGGAAGGCCAAGACGTCACGGCTGGGCCAAGTCCTGCCGACCATCCTGCCGGAGGACGGCAGCAGGGTAGGTGGCGGCCTGCTGGATGTTGTGGTGCTGCGGGACAAGGCCAACCGGACGCCTCGCAGGAACCGGGCGCTGGTGTGCGAGCGCTGCCGGCTGGAGCGGCTGGGCAGACAGCAACAGCAGCAGCAACGAGAACCCTGCAGAGGTATGTTTGGCCATGATGCAAAAGTTAACGGCTACGGCTAGAAATAATACACATACGTATGGAAAGCCATTGGTTGGTGGCTGCAGCCCCTTTCCCTAGATGGCTATGTGACCCTAAGCCTCAGCTAGTTAATTTGGAGTCGCAAGAGGAGGCAGTAACATGTACATGAATCACTGCTTGGTAGACAGTCTTGAGATGTGCAGAATATTGTACCTAGTCCTAGTTGAATGTAATAATTTGCCTTATCTGAAATATTTCAACTCGGATTCACTTTGTACTTGTGTTTTTTTTTTCACAAATAGCAGCGTTGTTTCCTTCTCAGTTCTTCACCTTGAGGTCATAGCTGTTGACGAATTAACTTTATACTCTTTAGATATTTATTAGGTGTGAAGCCCTTGCTAGGATATCAGTACATTTATGGAGTTGCATGTGCAAGTTAAGTCAGGCAAATCCCTTTTATTCCTCCCGGGATATACTAAATACTGGTACATGTACACGCACCCGTAAAATCCCCTCCCAGTAATGGCATACAGCAACAGCCGCTTCCTATCAGCAACTGCTCTTTTTGTTCCGTTGGCTTTGATGAGTTTCACGACCACAGGCCACGTGTGAAATGAGTGCGATTTGGGTATTGTCAAGTTTTCTGCTTTGACTACCCACCAGCGGAGAGATGTTTGGGTTTGATTTGATTGCCCGCACGTGCTTTCAAGCTCCATCCAGTAATAAATTGTGTGCGCGAGTGGTGCTTCAATTCGTGCACCGCCCTACATAGACCGCAAACTAATTAAATCTGGACAGCCATCCAGAAATGAATGCCCATGCCGTTTTCTTTGTCCAGATCAAGGAAATTGCTCATGATTAAATTCGCATGTTATTACTAACGGGAGCAAATGCACCACGTAAGATTACTGTACATGTACATGTTCACTCTGATGTATATGTATGTGTCATAGCGTTATTCTTACAATCATTGAACTGCAGTTATAACCAAAGATCGTATAGCGCTGCCTAGCGGCGCAAGATGGGGAAGTTCACCATGAATACGCGTAAAACGTTGTTATCACATGGGCGCCATTCTGGTTGGACTACGCCTGCGCAGTGCATGTTAATGCCCAGGCACAGGCGCCGTGACAGGCACGCACACACATTAACGTTCACACTCGAATGGCGCCCATGGTGATAACACCTTTATGGCCGAATTACCCATCTTGCGTCGCTATGCGGCGCTATATAATCTTTGGTTATAACCCACCACAATGTGAAGTAAAGGACAAGTTAAAGAAAAAAAATGACTTTATTTTGAAAAACTCCATCAAAAAATGCTAAAATACCGCAAGAGGGAAGGTGTGAATGTACATGGACTTCGTTTAAGAGGTGACAAACTCCTTATTGTGCTGATGTCTACATGTTGTCATTGCCAATGTTGCCCAAGGTTTTTGAGAACTCCCAGTGAGAACATTTTTCTCACGTGATTTCTACAACATTAATGAAATTGTTAATTGAGGACAGGAAGCCACATTAATGTCTTCATCCCAAGCGCTGTCAAAGCCTGTTGGAGACATCCTCATCTAAACATTCAGGGCTTGGCAGACTGCCCTTACCTGAGCCAATCAGATCAGTGTGCTCAGGCATAGACCTTAGGAGACATACATGTATTTATGGTTTACTCTGAAAAAGAAAACAACCACCGAAATAAAAAAACAAAAACACAGACATCAAGGTTTTGCTTTAGTCACTGACACGTGTAGTGCACTTGTTATCCCTGTCATCCCGAGTGATGGTTACTTATCAATGGTAGAGCTTGTTGCTGGTTCCCGCTTTTTTCATGTAAGGGGTTATCTTTCCCTGATCTTACTAATCCATGCTGGTTTCGCACTGGAAGATGGGGACATCTCTCGGCAGCTGGTGGGCCCATTTATACATGTACACCATACTGCTTGTAAGTAGCTGTAGGACACACCTGCATGCTGTTAGTTAAAAAAAAATGAAATCACCGGATGGCTCTTCTAACCCAGGAGATCAGAAGTCTAAAAATAGTATGGGAGTTAAGAGTCTTGAACAAACACCCCTGTGGTTCAGTGCTTGAATGTTCTCAGCGAAGCTTACTCGTCCTGGTTTCTCTTGAGAGAAGGATCAGTTGAGTCACTGGGGTATTTTTTTTACCTGACAGTTTGCCGAAGTCAGACGCTGAATTTTGTGAAAACTGCCAGTTTTCCCATCAGTTTCAATCATATTTGCAGACTTGTCCATCTCAGTTCCCCCAAACTGTTTCTCCCTGTGGATTCCAGAGCTCAACATGCTTTTGAAGCTGCCTGACTTAAAAAAAAACTTACAACTTGTTTGCACCGAAATGTCATTTTTTTATTTTCCAACTTTCACGAACAGTTCCCATTGACGTTCGCTGTCGCAGTGGTGAAAACGTGTGCGCAAAGCTCAGTGCATTAAACGAAGCTGCTCTGGTTCCCGCTGCGCCGCGCCACGCCGCGCACAAGCGACAGAAAGTGTGATGGAAATGTAGCAACCAGAGCCAGTCTATTCATGTACTGTCCATTCCCGTCGATAACACTACATCAACCGTACACATATGTCGCATGCATCCCTAAAGCTGCAGGTCGAAAAAAACATTGATGTTGCAAGAGGTTTTCTGCAAGTTAATTCACAGAACTTGGTCTCTTATTTGTGTATGTATTTTCTGTGTTCATAAGTTTAATTTGAGATTGTTTTGCTCATACTTGAAGCGAGCGTGTTTCAACAAATTCCTGCCACGCCACAAGATTTATCGCCTGCTGGTCTGGATGCACCATGCACGCTTACCACGGGATACTCGGACATTTTTGGCTAGTTTGCCGTCATGGGGAATAGTGCCTGAGTAGCACTGTTTGAATTGCCCATAATTCTGGAGAATGTCGACTGTTGCAATTTTTACATAGATTAAGACAGGTGTTCATCATTTTTGAGATAGTTTTGGGAGCTGTCTTTCCCATTCATGCCATTCAGTCAGCACAAAAAATTGTCCCCAACCCAAAAATTTTCTGACCTAACGCCCGATTGTGTAATCGCAAGCACAACTATTTTTTGGGCCAAATAAAAGACTGCTTGCATGCAGTAGGCCTAAGTTAAATAACCTTAATAATCGCGGATTTCAAGAAACCTTGGGCAAGTGTTGATCCAGTTCCGGCAAGCAAATTTATTGCATGGCCTGCCCAATCGGGCAAGCTAAAAACAAAAATTCGTCGCGGCCCGAGTCTGGTTGAGTGTCGGCCGGTGAACAGGTACGGTATGTGTGGGCTCCACAATGTACAAGTTGCATTTTACTTCCTAGGCCTTGAACACGAATAAGTACGCTTAGTCTCCACATAATTTTGTGCTTGCGTTACATACATGTAAAATGGTGCAACCTCAAACCTGACAAACTGGATGCCTTGATGAGGGTTGCTGCTGCAGGCCCTCCAAGAAGTGTGTTTGATTTCTATCGGGCATTCAGACTGTGGTCTGGTGAAAAACCTTGTATTCTTGGTATCGGAATCATTCATATGGGCATGTATTCTTCACATGTACTTACCTTGGAAATAACTTACAGCAAAACGCGTGAAATATGAGACGTACAGGTTGTAGTTATCAAATGATAGTCTGTCTATAATAATTGATCCTTTTTAAAAACAGTTCACACAAACTGAAAAGAATCAGAGCGAATATTGTGTTATTTGTCAAACAAATTGGCTACAAAAATACATGATGTTGGCTCGTAAATTTGTAGAATGACTATAAAATTGAACGTTTGGCTACAACTTTGGCTATTAATTGAAGTTTTCCAGCTGGAACCCTGCATGTACATGTACACAATGTACATGTATGTATTTGAAAGTATCTTTTCCGTGTACCCGCTGTGGAACTCACTTGCATCTTGTACAGTAGGTGTTGTTTAAAAGCCCTTTTATGCTCAAAAAAGAACCCAAAATCGCTTCATTCCAAAAGGTGAAATTTTAGTATCACAGACTTTTATAAATTGTGGAAGGTATCCTATTCCTCCAGTGAACATGGCTGCTGCTCTCTGTCGTGAGAAACGAGTATGATGCAAGCACTTGAAGTGTATGTAATTTGGAGACAATGTGCAGGTTATACAAAATGGGTAAGCCTCTATTTCTTGCTGATATTTTTCCGGACCCACTGACATACATGTACGGTATGTTATCTGTATTTCACCATTCAGAGGCGGATCAAGGGGGTGGGGAGTTGCAATCGCCCTGTTCAGCCGCGGACTAAATGAAACTACCAGTGAAAATGATGGAAAATGAGTAAGCCTTTAGACCCCCCCCCAAAAAATTTAAAAATTCCTGGATCAGGATTGCGTTGTCCATTTATCCATCTATAGTTAAACAATTACAATTTCTGGTGGATGCCCTTAGCAGGGCATCCCTTCAGTGTACTGTCATCATTTTCATTTGCTCATGATGAATAAAGAAGCACAGAAACAATCGCGCCTGTCATCAGTGCTATAAATAATTCCAGAAAATTGATATTGATGTTGATTGAAAAGATCTCCACTGAAGTGTCGATATTGAGTTGGCGTGAGGCGATTGAGGTAAAGCTAAGGAGTCAGAGGACAGACATGATACATCTTCCCATTTACAAATCTGTGTTGTCGGCATACTTTGAAAAGTTTTCTTTTGTTTATATACCAGTTGATGCACTAGTCCTGTGGAAATTTGTGCACGTGCACCAATTTAAGTTGGCTATTTGCCCAAATTATTTGGATTTGAGCGCTGGCGGGTGAGCATGCAGACAGATGCCAGACTCGAAACCCCTCAATTTACCGCAAGAGTAAACTCCAGCGACCTCAGACAACCTCAGAGGAGACAGGGACCTGACACCCTGGGAAGAGGCTCTGTGAATCCTTATCTGGATAGACCTAAACTTGCCTCTAGTTGTTTAAGTTGTCTCTCAAAAAGTTTAACAACCAATACAGTTTTCAAAAAAAAAAATTGCTTGGGATAATGTGAATTTGTCACTTTCAAGGTATCCATTGAATAAATTTGTCTCATGTACTGGTAAGATTTAATTCGTTTTTATTTATCAGTGGAGTCAGTCCATTTTAGAAAGTACATGTACATGGGCCTACAGGTGTGCATGTTTTCTCCTCATGCAAAAGTCTCAAAGCTCTGGTCTGAATAAACCCTACACCAGGCAACGACTATAAACTTTAGACTCTGTGCACTGCAGGGAGTCTTCACAGCCAGGCCTGGGGCATGTGCACTGAAATTCAAGTCTTTGTGGGTTTTTAAAAATAGCACATAATTGTGCTGGAGTATTGTTAGCTGGACCAGGTTGATAAGCAAGATTGAAAAGGAAACATCTTGTGATGAATCTTAGATAACACCAGGCTTCTCAAGTTACATAGAACCCAAGGGAAGGGAACACTTCACTTTGAGAACTGACAGAGCCACTCTGGAAAATGAACAGAGAATTCCCAGTTTTAGATGAGGTGTTTTTATTTCAAAGCAAAGAGGGAAAGTTGATACAATATAATTCTTGTTGGCCATGTGGGCAGCTTTCGCAGCAGTGTGTGCAAAAAGACAACCAACGGGAGGGGAATTAAGCCCAGTCAGGACTGACCACATTTTTGTCAGTGGCTATGGCTGTGTGCTGTGGCACACTAATGGTATAAATCAGTCAGTTTGACTCAAAATGGACGTGGCTTGAGATGAGCACAATGTGTAATAAAATAACATGCCACACATCACGGTGAAACTGAAAGCTGTATCTCTAATAAACCAAGAAACAACCAACCCAGATACAGCCTTACTACCGGGGTAATTCTGTCCGACCAAATTCTCATGCCCTTTGATTTTGATTGATTTCACTTGTTTAAGGTTTGGAGAAGAAACAATTTCATTTTGGTGTGTCTGAGTAGCACCCCTGAAATGCTGATGATGAAACAAGCTAAACCTGGCTTTAGCTTTCTCGGTTGGCAGAGTCCTGGTTGTTGCACGCTGTTCCTATTAAAGCTAGCTGGTTTATTTAATTTATGTTCTTCAGAATCTATTGTAGTCGAAGTTGGCAGCAGTATTTTGCAAAAGGAAGGTGTCAGCACTTTTTAACTTCGTTACCAAAAGTGGGGAGCAAAGAAAGATACACAAACGAATTTAGCAATAAAATGGTTGGTCAGTTCCTGGCTCTGCACTTATTTGTTGACACATCGACCACCGGGGGTCCTCATTCAATATTTGATTTTGTTTTCTCTGAGTCTGACATTGCCAGTAGAGTGGAACTAATTGGCACAATGCGCAAACCTGGGTGCACAATAGCTCCCATCACAGAGCTCATCGAACAATACAGCCCAAGGTTCACTAACCTGTTGAAATCCCACTCAGGTTTTATTGCTAAACTTCGCCCCTGGTTTACCAGACCATGGAGTTAGTATGGCCAGACAGTGTGAGAATTGGGACCACCCAGAACACTACCAGCTGGAGCAGCTAGCACCTCTCAAGCCAAAACAATGAAAGCCTTGGACTGACCTGTTTATGATCAAGGAAACTAATGGTTGGCCACTTTTTACCTGCCAGTTTTTTAGCCTCCTTTGATAGTGGTTAAGTGCTGAAGTCCAGTGGTTGTAGAGGGACGTATAAATCATTTGGGTATTTTTTTTATTTGATGGGGTTGGTATGCCTTTTGCTTTTTTTTTAATCACTGAATCCATTGGTCTTTGGTTTTTTTCCCTGAATTTAACCACAAAAATCCAACACTCTGCCTGTGCCACTTTTTTGGTACTTCAAAGTAGGACACCAAATCCCATTATTAAATAGTAAGCACAATAGCAGGGCTGTGCAGACTTAAAGATATCGCATATTCTGTAGTCTGCCCATTCAACTTTAAACATGAAACTCTCTCACATCCTGCTTTCTAAAAAACAATAACTCTTTGTAACTTTACTCCAGCTTTCAGTTTTCCATATTTAAAACTGGATTCCTGCTTACCATATGTACTGGTATTAGTCATTTTGTTACACAGTCCTCACAGTGTAGGTCCTATATGTACAAATATTAACCAGCTTTCTCCTTGTAGCTGTGAGGCAAGAGAGTGTAGCATTCACCTGTATAAATACCCCAGTATTATCTTCCAGCCTCGGTGGAGATGTGATCCTAGTCCTACAGTGTGCAGGTCCTTCTGCAGTTACACAGACCCTCTCATTTCCCCCCATGGGGCCATGTTTAAAAACTATTACCCCCAACGAGGACAAATTAGGCCCAATTGGACACCTGGTAAGGGGCCAGGCCCGGCTACTTGACCTTCCCAAATTACTGGAGAGTTGAGTTTAAATTTCTCCTAAGTTTTGTGACAACCTGGGGGTAACATCAGGTTGAAAGAGAGTCACTGGTACATGAAGTTGAGTACCTGAAAGATAGTTTGAATGGTCTTTGATATTTGTTTTGCAGTGAAAACTGTTTGTGCGTATGCTTGTCAGATCTTTTCAAAACTGATAGTACCGTAATGCATTGGTAAGTACATGTAACCATGACCACATTATTTGCATATCGAAAGTTTTGAAAGGTCTAACAAGTTGAACAGCTCTAAATTCTTGTATAAAAAACTTATAGAACGGTAACCAAACTTATCTCATTCTGCAGTGCAGGTGGCAAGCATGTCATTTGTACCTTCTTTTTTTTTTCTCAAACTCAAGTTCGTTATAAAATTGTGTAATGGTTTCTTTTCACTTTTGACACCCCTTCCCTCAGACTGTCTGTCGCAATGTTTGCTACCGTCTTTGTCAGTGTCACTTCTCCAGCCTATGTGTCAAGATGGTATGTGCGTCAGTCTCACACTGTCTCCGGACTTGGCTCGCATGTGGGGGGGGGCCGGGCACAGCATCTGCATGCAGCTGGAAATGAAATTGCCATGATTAATTGAGCTTGGATTAATTTTCCTCCTTTTTTTTCCTTCTGTTTTTCTCCTGCTCTATCATGATATTGTGCATGTACATGTACAGGACAGGAGTGATGCCTGTACTTTTGCCTCACTTTCATCTGTTTTGCATGGCACATATTTTACACATGCATGTTGCAACTTGCATACAATGCTAATTCGTGGTTCATGTTTTGCTTGTTTCTTTTTGGAGGGGTTGTTTTGCTTTTTATTGGTCTGCTTGTTTTCTTGGCATTCTGTTGCTTTTGGCGAACTTGGTCATGTTGAAATGATATTGAGTTCTGGTAAGCCTTCCGTAGCTCGTACTTTTAATTTACACGTATATCAAATCAAAATTTAACCTCAACTGTAACCCAGACTTGACGTTTCCGGGCAAAACTGTGAGCAAATTGCTTCACTTACAGAACTTGTTAAATATGAGTGTGGGTGTGATTCAGAGCCACAGGATGTTTGCGCTCACGTGTAAACATAGCATCGCAGCTCCGTGATGCGGCCTGTTTCGCTCACGGAAACCTACATGTATGACGTAAAAGTAGATAAATGTCATGTCTAGGTTAAAGTTGACATGTCTGTATGTTGATAGCCTGAACAGCACAAGTTCTGTATTCCTGTGTTTTGACGTAGTATTTGAGTATGAAACGGCACACGATTTAGCCTTTTGTGACGACAGTATTGTCTTTCAGACCTGAATCAAAACTGGGACACGTACGGTACACATACCTGTGAAGGCAGAGCTCACTCTAGGCAAAGACGGAGCACTAGCCAAACGCTGCGACATATACGAGTACATAGTAATGTCCCATTCACACCTTTGATTTGTGTCCTTATATGGGCAAATAACCCCATTGTGTTTGCCATCGTTGATATTGGGTGGAGATATTTGCTGAATGACACATTATCACAGCGTTCTAAAAATAGACACCCTGAGCACAATAGTCAGTGGGTGTAGGTTGTTCCGCTGTCATCTCATTCAATCATGCATGCAGAGACACGTTGTAGTATTTTGGTGATTGGTTGGTCTCAGTGCTTGGGTAACAAATGAAGTCACCGATCGATAAGACCGACTGGACTGTCAGGAATTTGTGGTCAGCGCACAGCATCCACTGACCATATTAAGGGTCCCGGTAATTAGAGGCAAACTCATTTTGAGTCATAGAGCCCTCAGCAAAGTTGAGAGAGCTGTTTTGATCAAAAGTTGTGCCCGAAACGGGCTTGCAGAGCTATGGCTACTCAGTTGTCGGTGTCTTCTTAGACCTTGACCAACATTGTAGCCTCTAGAGAACAGATTCAGATGCTGCCCAAAATGTGCTCAGCACAGAAAATGTTTTCATCTTCTTTGCGCACACAGGATAACTGCATGTACAGTGTACATGTACATACATGTACATGTAATATACTTATACAGTGGACTCAGATTCCTATGTAAGCACATAGGCTGTATTTGGTTGTTAGGGTATGCAGGTCGGTGGCTGGGCCCTTTACAGCTCAGCACAGGGTGAGGTCTTGTGGTCTGGACAGTGCATATTTGTACAAATCAGTCTTGGCCCTGATCACCCAAGCTGTGAATCAGTTCTGTTCCCCAGATGGCACTGTCAGCAGTAATAAAGACCAGCTCTGTCTTTGAGTTTGATCAGAAAGGGGATTTTGCCCTGTGTTGACCCCCAGTTGGCTGGATTTACATAAATTGCAAAGCTATTTCTGGGAAACCCCGGTGGATTTACCTGTCCAAGGGCCATATAACATTCAAACAGCTACTCAACACTGAAATCTGCTAAGCTCATAAAAGACTAGCTTAGTAGAATTTAGTTACCCATCAAAGTGTCGTGCAAAATACTCAGACGTGGTTTTCTGGTCATCACCGCTAGGCACAAAAATCTGTTCCCTCCTATAAAGCAGCTTCATGGTTTTGGTCCCAAAGAGTGACAAGGGTAGGAGCGCTCTATGGTAGGATATGTCAGCGCCTATTGGGTCTGTGCATGCTCTGCCGAGGTCGCTCTGCAGCCCAGCATACATTTAATTTAGCTTGTATGGGGGGTGGACACGTGTACAGTTGGTTTGTGTATGTGTTGTTGGGTTCTTGCCTGACACTGTCAGTCAAAGATAAGACAAAGATAAAATAAATTGACAGAAGCTTAAGTGTTCCTGGGAAATGTGAAAAATGCAGCTTGCGTCTGCATGCAACAGTGGCAATTATTGTGTAGTTTTGGCCCTTGCTAGGTTAATTAGAGAATTCACTGCAGTATGACTGCATGTTAAATGAAGAAATAACAAAGTACCACATCCATCCATACACAGGAGGGTTTGTTAAACTTTTTGAATCACTACAAGGTCAAGGGAGCAAACAACAGATGTGCAGTTAGCTTAGACAACTATTTCACTCAACTTCTACATGCAAGATTTATATTTGCAGTTTAACTTCATCTTCTCCTAGTGTCAGTCAGAATATCTCAGTATACCTGTGGAATCAAAGATCAGTACATGATTTTCTTGATGGTCTTTTACGAAAAAGTGGCTGGCCATGAAAGTGTACAGAACTTTGTATGAGTACAAATTGTCACCACCATCTGCTTTATACTGTATGCCCCCCCCCGCAAACTACACTGAGGAAGAGTTGACGGAATGTACTGCAGAGGCGTTGTAGTACCCAGAGAAAGAAACTCTCAGGAGCTTAAGAATCCACATGTAGTCCTCAGTTGTGAAAGGTCAGGTGTCAAAGTTTACTGGACAAAACTGCCAGCTCACCGAAATCACAGGAAGGCAAAGACAGGCTGCTACTTACATACTGTACATTTAATGAAGGAAAATGCCATTGTTGTGAGACTAGGAGCTAGACGGACGTGTTCTGATTGTGAGGAAATGGTTTATTTCTTCTGCTTAGAGTGGATGTACACAAAGGTAGATATTTTGCCCAGAGGGGGAAGGGTATTTTCAGGAAATGTAGTTTATTGGAATATCCTGATATTAGGTACATGTATAAAAACAGAATGATAATCCTGTCCTCTTTTTCCTGGGACATTTCCTTGAAAATTTAATATCCGCACGGCTATTCAATCATTTTGCACTAAAAATAAAAAAGTGCCATGAAGGCGGGTCCAATTTCAAAGAAGTGAGAGTTTCTGTCAACAACAAATAAACGCAGTGTGAGCCATGTTTATTGATGTGTTTAGCTACAAAGAGGAAACTGCTTTTCAACCTGCTATGGATAGACCTGTGTTTTGGGAATCTGAAACCCGATACATATACTCCGTACATCTGGCTTGATAGTTAGAAAGTGCAGGATGATGTCGTGTTCCTCAAAAACAGCTTCATGCTGCAAGGACTTGAGAAAAGTTTCCTGATGCTTATTTTGTATTTTCTTATTCTGTGCCGCTGAAGAAGCCAGCATCCTGCCTCACCTAAGAGGCTTCTGCCCTGCTTATCATTTGGACCAAAATTTCAACAGTTCTCTCATGTTCACCAACATTATTCTTAACAGGCAAGATAATGCCTAGTTGGCCAGTCAACCTGAGTATTAGCATAGGTGTCACTGGCAAGATGCAGCGTGTCCAGGGCATGTTTGAGTTCCAGTAGAATTTGCTCCATGGCCCCGCAGGGGACAAGTGGTATTTTTCAGTGTCCATCGGTGGGAATGGAGATCCCTGTTGAGGTGGGTATTTTTTTCCCCTCTTACTTGGTTAATGCTTCCAGGTACCTGATCAAACTAAATGCTGTACAGCCTGAAGGCTCAGGGGATAGCATTTCGCCATCACCAGAGTTGCAAGTTAGTGCAGGGAGGATTTATTGGGTTGTCCCATCATGCAGAGGCAATTTATAACTTGGGCTGTGTGACACTTGTGTTTCTGCCTTGTCTGGTGGTTGCCTGGATCTTTTTTCTTGAGCTGTGAATCTGTACATTGTGCATGGAATGTGCAGTACGCTTGAAAGACGAGCACAGAAATGACAACTTGTATGACAACTAAGAACCATTAGATTCCCTGAAAGACTAAGCATATGAGTTTACCAGTACCTAGACTCCATTCCAGGTGATGGATGTTATTAAGTCTGGAGAGCCAGAGGGACCAATTTCTCTTGATGGAGAATTCTACTCTCAGCACTCAAGGTGTAGGAGGCTAATTGCTCCACAGAGTTCCCTGACCGAGAATCAATTTCTGGCATCCAACGGCAAACTCGGCTGGAGTTAAAAATGTAGCCTGGGCATGGCATGCAGGGATAGGGCTGCACCTAAACTGCTTAGCTGCGGCTAAGAGGAACAAGTGCAACTATGGCTTGTGGCTGTAGCCTCTCCTCATAAATGCATGTGCTGATCTCAGCTGTAGCCAGTCGATTCGGACAGAGATGTTTGCCTTCATTTGGATATTCCTCACTGGCGAAACTGTAGACTGTATTTCAAATGGATCTGCATGAACTATCTCTTACCTGCATTATAGATCAGATGCACATCATCAGCAGTGGGGCAGGGGGGGTACAATGCAAACTGTGGTTGCATCCGAATATGTTGTCTACAGCAAAATCTAGGTCTTTGCTCTTTTGGAAATATGCGTGGACTGGCGAAAAGTAGACGTAGCAGTAGTTCTGTGGAACCCAATTTTAGACCACCGCCACTGCATACCATGATAAAGGCATACAGGGTATTGCCAGTTGTGGCAAGTGTACATGTACAGGTATTCCACTGTGAATTCTGAGGTTGGTCATTCCTGCGTTAACTCAATTCGTCTGCTGTAATTCGGTTCAACACTTTGTAATGTCCATGGCCAGCTGACAGAACCTTAGGCATGCTCACCTTGCCCTTTGGAAGCCAATTGCAGTGGACAAAAAGAGTGAAGACACAGGGATCCAGACCAGATGCAACACTCTGTAACAGTTATTGGGTGCACTTGAACAGTAATTACCCGGCCCGATTTTACAAAACCTGTGAGCAAAAAATATCGCTCAGCATTTTGCTATTAAGCAAAAATGAATGGAGAACCAGTCTCAAGTGATATGACTTGGAATGGCACTTTGGCCATTAACTGGTCTGTGCTAAGCATGCATTTTTGGTGCTTATCACATTATCATCATATCAGAAGCCCCTGGGGGGAACTCCAAGGCCCCAAAATCTGTCTGCTTGCTTGATGGGATTAATAGTCTTAGAGAGCCCTTCGGACCAGCTAGTGAGTCACAGGGGGGCAGGGACCTCTCAGCCACCCTGTCCTTTGTCCCTGAGCAAGCAGGCTTCAGAGGTTCTGTCTTAGATTCGTTTCTTTTGCCCCTGGAGAAACATGTTTTAAATTCAAGCAGATCGAAGATGCGGCAGTAAACCCTTGAAGCAATTTATAAAGCTCAGTATGAAGCTGGTGCGCATGGCTTTTTTAAAGACGTACAAAGATTCATACGTCTGTATTCACACAGTAAAAAATGATGGCAATGTACGGGCACAGCATGCCATTGGATATCAAATCCTGCTGTTACCCCTGATCATTGTGTCAATTACTGCTGGCGCTGACAATCCAGTACATGCACCTGTATTGTATGTGTGCATGGGCTTTGCACCATGTAGGCTCCACTAAAACACTCAGCTGTTGATGTCACTGTATTCCTGGTATGTCCCCTCTGCCTTTGGTCATGACACTCTCCATCTTTGCTCACAGAAGGTCTCCAACTTATCTCCATCTCCGACCCTGGTTGTCAGCAAGTCCATCTCAAGTCTTTTCACAAGTCCCTTCACACATCCTTTTGTTTTGTGTTTTTTTACAAAGTCTCAAATCCAGTCACGCCTGTGATAAAGGAATACAATTTGAACAACTTGTGAATTGACATGCAACTAGATGGCTTGTCATGGACATGTGATGGACTTGCAGGGACTTGTGGTGGACTGGAATACGGGGATAGTCCGACTTCCTCAAAGAGGTGTAAGCCCAAGTTTCTTTACCATGCAGTCAGCCTTGAATTGACACTATACATGCACAAAGCGCAGCCTGTCATGGTCTTAACAACAGTCTACATCTACATGCAGCAACGATATTGCTAGGGCAATAACTTCCCCATTCCTCTTTGCTACATGTAGGACATCTGTAGTCTGAGCTCAAGACGTTGGCTTCTGAATACAGATCTGGAGGAGTTGGTACTTGTCAGTGAAACACAAATCAAGTGCATTGTGGAACTGATTACCATTCACAGGGGCAGTTTTTTGGGAGGGGGAAGGGTGGGAAGGGAAGAAATGGAGGCAAATGACAAAAAAGCCTGGAACCGAGACTACAGATCAGTTAAACCTTACATTACAGTCTGACTCTCTCCCCACCTCAGAGTGCTACTTTTAGCCCTGAGAAGAAACCGTGGCTCAATTTCCTGTGGAATATTGCCTCCAGGTGTGACTTGCAAGCAGCAAGTGTGGGTAAAATGTCTCAGCATATTGTGGTCCCAAGAAATTAGTTTTTACCATCACACATATTGCAACAGCCTCGGGCTTTTCCTTGAAATACACCCTTTGTCCTTTGTGTGCAGGTGCATTGCACTGTAAATTTGAAAAGTAACAAACAGCTAATGTGGGGGGGGGGAACACATGTATCTATTGTGTTATTTTCTCTGAAGTGGTGTATTTTTGAAATAAATCACTTTCCTGAAATGGAACCGGAAACGAATTGACCAATCACTGGTTTTTAAGTACATCCACGCTACACGTCTTTGGTTAAAGTTTCAGGAATTGCCAGGAATTCCAATGAAATACCTGACAGTGTGTTCCACAAATGTACTGTAACATATCAATGCGCTTGGCACTCAGTTTAAGATAAATCAGGAATTTCCTGATACAACATACTCGCCAAGCCCAGGCACGAATCCAACTGAGACTCTGTAATGACACCAGAGAAAACAGTAGATACTAAATTCATACAATTTAGAATCAAGTTCACACTTGTTGTATCAACCAAATGGGAAGATCTGAACTTCTAATCTCGTGTGCATTTTTAGCCTACTTTTTCTGCTCGCACCACTTGGAACTCTGAACCGAACTCGCCGTTCACTGCTTGGAGAGATGCACTCAAGTATCAGCACGGGTAGCATGCATGAAATGCCATGATGGTTTGTATTTGTTGTATTTCACTTCTTTAAAGAACAAAATTCCCACTTCTTTTTTAATCCCTCTGTAGAGAACTTCCCCGACAGCATTCAGTCCAGACCGCTTCCCAGCACCCCTTCCCACGGACCCGTGGATCTGCCCAGATGGAACTCAAGCGAGGAGCTGAACGCCCAGGATGACCCGGATCTGTTTGTGGTGCTCTACGACTTCAGCGGCAGCGGGGAGAATCAACTTAATGTTCGCAAAGGTAACTTCTCCCTCTCCCCTAGCAGTCCTTCCATGGAAGAGAATAAAGTTTAAATTGACTTGTTAAAAGTTTTTCCAACTTGGCTTATTAATGTGCACAGCACACCTCTGATAGCCTTATAATATTTCAACAGATATTGGTACCGCTTTCCCAGCACTTTCCTGCGCCAACGGTGCATGAACCTGTGTGCACCCACAGTTAGTTCCCATCAAGGGATCATTGCTGCTACGTAAAAGTCTACCATCTCTCGTTTTCCACGGAGCATATTCTGTTTATTGTTAACCTTGGAAAATACTCGTAGGTGCACTTTTGAGAACTTGCAAAGTAAATTTGGATTTTGCTTGAATTCTCACTTTTTCTTTCCCAAGAGCCACAGCTGCAAAAAAAGAAAAAAAAATTAATATACATTAATTAAACAAAAGTTATTGACTTTTCTCAGTGATTAACTGTGGCTGTGTTGGTTTGCAGTACATAGTAATGACGTTGTATTGCTTCCGCACAGAGTACAATAAGCCACACTGTTTGGCATTCATCACATTGAGAAAACCATGGAGCTGATGCACGGAATAAACTTTTGGGCGCGGCAAAAGTTGTAGGAAAAACGCAAGTATGCGTAATCGTTGTAAGCGTAACCAGACGTCTATGACTGTATTTACATTTCCAGCATGTTGCATCTTTGGCTTTTCTCAGATTTTCTTATTTTGGACATCACCCTGCCCTCCAAGGGCCTATCACCACCAATCCGGTCCCCCCCTCAGGAAAGACGTAATGAAACCCTGCCAGCTGACGTCACCGGCCGCGGTTGCCGTGGAAACCAATTACAGTTCATATCCACAGGATGTTTCTCTTTACTCCGCCATACTAGTTTTAGAAAGCAGACCCCGCTAATTTTAGCGTTGGCTTAATTAATTGCTGCGATGGTGTCTATTTTCAGTACCGGGAGTAGATCTTCGGCGTGAACTTGAATTTTGTCGGATCATGTGACGATCAGCTGATAAGGGAATTTGAATGTTTTACAGTTACGTACGCATTGGACGGTTTGGAGGGTGTCGTTTCCATCCCTGCTGTAATTAGCTTACAGAGACTGGTATGGACTGGTACGAGGATAAGTGCGTAGGTACAGCGTAGTTGGAAAGGGCGCCAGGAAAAAGTGCTGTCTTTCGTCCTTTATGTATTCACTATGTGCATATTTCCCGTGTTATCACGTGTCATATTCTGGCTATTGGGCATTATGCAATCCACTGAGTTACAGGCTTTTTTGGGCATTGAGAAAAATTCTGCTGGGATTGGAACGCCATGCGCTGTAACTTTAATGTACAAGCTTTTGGCCTTATTTAATTACGGAAGAATGCATGTATTTCTGTCTTTCTGCCCTTTCGTCGGTAACCACAAGTTTGCCATTGTCCAAGCCGACAGGTACACGTAGGTACACGAACAAGCGAGAAATGAAAAAGTAATAAAGTACAGATAGGTGTGTGGCAGCAGTGAAGTCGCAAACTGCACAAAATGAATGAGGACAAAAGCAGTCCTCCATTCGTGTTTGTGCTATGTCACTGGTGGCAAGATGTGTGATTTCCACTTTACTCAAGCTTTTGTCTCTGCAATTGTAATAGACTGCCATACAACTCAACAAGTTTCCGTTGATCTTTGGAAAAAAAGGTGGGGGAACTCCAGAAAGCGTTTGATCAGATGCCTTGTGCCCTCAAATTTTGTTAGAATGGATACGGTTGGCAGATTGCTCGAAGGCACCGAGAACTACTGACAGCCTGCCTAAAAATGTATATTTTGTCAGTCCTTGAAATAGCCCTCCTGAAGTCCCAGGGTGCCGTCAGTTCAGAAGAGGAAAAGAGGGAGAAACTTGCACCTGACACTGGCCTGTCAATTCAGATGTTCCACTCAGGCCAACTCATCACTTCATTTCCTCTACAGGCAGGGATTGAGGACGTGTGGATTTCACTAACCCCTTCGTTTACACCTCGACCTAGGGGGCTTTTTTTCTTCTTCTTTTGAGTTTGACCAGCGCTGACCCCTCGGCCCAGATAACCCGCGAATTGGTTGGGAAAAGTGCAGGGCTCCTGCCTTCTGGCATTGTTCGGGTTTGCTCTGAGGGGAGAAGGTGGTCGAGGAGATTGTCATAACGGGACCTGTACTGCAGTTTGTCACAAGGCAGCATTGAAGTGTGACGCATTGGCACTGTGCCAAGCACAAACAAAATGGAACATTGCGTGTTATGGGTTTGAGAATCAGGAGTCCCAAAAATTTGTGGGCGGGCATCCAAATTTGCGTTGGAGCTCTCAAGAATGGAGAGCATGATGTCGGAGTCTAGTTTTCTCCTTTTTAGCAACTTGTCATGTTGATCCCAACAAGACTGAAATGCATATCAAATGAAACCGTTGGTCTCATGTAATGTCTGGTATTTCCTGCCCATTGGCCGTAGTACGAAACCAATACATGTGCTTCTGCATGTAGTTAGTTTTTAGTCCTAAAAAAAAAAATGATTCAAGTGATCCAATGAAATAACATGATCGACCGACAAAGTGAGTCATTAATTGCGCAAGCCACTATCCGTGTGCCATTAGAGCACATCCTGGATTATTGGTATCCCTCCATGCCAACTGCTGCTTCTTGTTGCCGCCATGTAGATTTCCCCACCTCTTGTGACATTTTGAAATGCTCAGTACCCTCTCGGCATGGACACACACGCACATACGGAGGCTAACCTCAATTGCTGACCTATCTCCAAGCGGCCCACTTTCCGAGACCAAACCTGGAACTGACAGGCTATTAGTTGGCACATGATCTTGGTGCCAGCCCGTGGGGGGAGGGCTCTTTCACTAAGAACATTGCTGTCTTCCGGTTTCCTGAGTGCTCGCTGCTCAGTACAGGGAGGGTGTGTGAGAGGGAAGATTGCGTCATCTTCTTGTTGTGATGGTGAGCTCGGCCGCGGAAATAGGTCTCTCCCACGATGTCGAAACGGATGTTTGGCACACTTTTTCCCTTGCAATTCCTACACGCCATGTACACGTCATTTTAACCACCGCACTTCCATCCATGTGTCATGCTACGTTGTCTATCTAAACTTCGTGTACTTTGCTTACAGAGTACATGTCCCTGCCAAACTGTTCACTTTGATTTTGTTTTGAAATACACATGTACATAAATGTAACTAAAACTCCTATGTATACTTCTCATTTCTTTGTGACCGGTTTAGTAGGTTGCATTGTTGTCACGGTGCTGTTTTGGGGTTATTTTTTCATCAAATGTAGAATCTTTTCCTTTAACCCTAACCCTCCTTAATCCTTCACCTGTTGGAGGACTGAGGAGTGTTAGGGTTAAAGTAATGTGAGTATTACCTGTAATGGCAGATTCAGGAAGTTTTTCAGGTCGTAATTTGCCGATTTTTGAGTACTGCGGCTTATACACCGGGCGGCTCGTCTTCCGAAAATCATGGTACAAAGAATTGCACCACAGGGTGCTTGCATGGAAGGGAAGGAGATCTTGCTGGTTAGTTTTTCACCACCAAAAAAAAAAAAAATCGGGGAAATTGGGGATGGAAGAAAAGGGGTTGGACAAACTGGAAAGTCCCAAATCCAGTTTGTCAAATGAAACTTGATCATCAGATGTTTCAGTCTCCACCCCCAGTTTCTAATATTATTTACCACACGAGAACATTCATATGCCAAATCTTTTGTCAAATCAAACCTGGATGGCACAGTCAAAACCAGATTGCAAAAAACATTGGACTGGAATCCCACCACTAGTGGAAAGTTCCTGAAGGTTTAGTTATCATTTTTCTTGTTGGGGTCAATTCCACAGGGGAGCATGTGCGAGTCATTTCGTACAACCAGACAGGGGAGTGGTGCGAGGCCAAGAAGATCACCAATAACAAGACGGGCTGGGTGCCCTCTAACTACATCACCACCAGCAACAGCCTGGAGAAGCACTCATGGTACCATGGGCCCATCTCCCGTACGGCGGCCGAGTACCTGCTCAGCAGTGGCATCGACGGCAGCTTCCTGGTGAGGGACAGCGAGAGCAGCCCCGGTCAGCTCTCCATCTCACTGCGCTTTGCCGGCCGGGTGTACCACTACCGGATCAACCACGCTCCGGACGGGAAGGTACGGGCGTTGGGGTTTGGGTCTGCGACTAGTGGGGGGGGAGGAGACAGTTTTGTAGTCAGGCCCAGTACCAGTCTGTGACAAGTTGTCCAGTTTTGAGCCAAGTTACAAACTATATAAAGGCACCCTGATAGAAGCATTTTTTGTCAGTGCTCACTCGTGTCTGATCTTGCGAAAGGCCCTAGGATTGGACTAATGAAAGGACTAACAACACGAACATGAGCAGACAGAAATGTAGGACCATCTTGTATGCTATCCTACTCCAGAAAAGATCCCTCACTCTCGAGCATTATGCCCATCCAACAAAAGGGCAAAACCTGTAATCAAAATTACTCCATTTTGACACTTTGCTCACCGTACTCTAAGGGTTCTGTCATTTTTCATTTCATTAAATCATGGTCATCAAGCAATGAGGCCTTAAACTTGTTTGCACCTGGGTGAAGAGAAGCAAATATAAAATGTGCCCCCCCCCCGGGAAAATGAGTCACGAGGCCATTTTGTCAGTAATTCTATTTCAGTTTGCATTAGAAAGGGCCAGCTTAGTTGTTTGTTTTGATGTTTCACTGATTTTGGTGTCCCAGTGAAGTGGACAATGTTGTGTGGGTAAAAAATGTTGATGGTTTCTACTGATTTCCGCGATACAAGATTCTTCCAAATGCCTCTGACCCAAAAGTGGCTCTTCTGACATAATGACTCATTGTCATAGAGTGGGTCATAAAATGTCCCGCTCGGGGACACATTCCCCTTGATGACGATGAAGCAGACATCGTAACTGCCGGACCATATACATCCCCCCTCATTCAGGTCTTCGTCACCAACGAGAGCCAGTTCTGCAGTGTGGCAGAGCTGGTCCACCACCACTGCAAGGACTCAGATGGCCTGATCACCACGCTGCGCTTCCCCGCCGCCAAGACCAACAAGCCCACCATCTACGGCGTCTCACCGCAGTTTGATGAGTGGGAGATCCAACGGACCGACATCTCCATGAGGAACAAGCTGGGCGGGGGCCAATACGGCGAGGTCTACGAAGCTGTCTGGAAGAAACATAACAAAATTGTCGCTGTCAAGACAGTCAGGGTATGTACAAATGTACAATTTTCAGAAAGTAATCTTGAGTCTTTTGGGGGAAAAAGAACCTCCAGACAAACCCAAATCTACCCAACAATTTAATCCACAAAACAATACAGCTAATCATATTTCACAGAGGACTCTATTTTGTCTGTGTGACCTTTACATCTTGAATACACTTGTCCATACAACTTTGGGCTGTGAATCAAGTGACACGTACCATTTGAGCTCGGAAAAAAGAGACAAACCGTGTAACTGTTGGTTGCCCATCAGAGTTTTGCTTGGGGCAACTTCTGGCAGCGTTTCTGTTGGCCAGAAAAGTGTTTTTTTTTTCCAACTTGTTCGCAACACTCAATTTACAGTTAATACGTCCTGCAAAGCAGATTTGTCATTTTCCAAACATTAGCTTTGTTAATTGCGCTGGCCTTCCCATTCGTTTAGCTGCACTGGCCAAAGAGAGACAGTCATACCGATTGATTCATGTCTTGTGGCTTTTTTTTTAATTTTAGGAAGAGAACATGAGAGTGGATGAGTTTTTGCGGGAGGCGGCGGTCATGAAGACCATCAAGCATGCAAACTTGGTCCAGTTACTAGGTAAGCCTGTGTCTCGGATGTCAGGGCTGTGGCTGACTCTAACACTCTCAGCTGTGGTAAGCCACTTGCAGCTTAAGCTTACAACCGCTTTTCACAGACACTTGTACTAAATAGAGTTTTTAGCTGTGGCTTGTAAATGAAGTCAGAGCTTAGTGGCTCACTCAAGAAGTTAGAATATCCACAGGTCTGGATCCCGTACTTCTTCAAACTAGCTCCGACATAGCTGTACATCCCAGTCCATTTTAGTGTAACCTGGGTGGGGAGGGGGATCCTGAGCGTCATAAGCTAATTTTTTTTGGGGGGGAGGAAGTTTGAGAGGAAGAGGAAGCCCGTCCCCTCCCAATATTTCAAATCCTGGATGAGCCACTGTCAGAGCCACAGCTGTGTCATTTGTCAGCATGTGTACACGCCTGACACAAGGCTCAAGAGCAACTTAGCAGTCCACAGGCACTTTCAGAATCCACATATCTACCCATCACCTGCAGGTGTGTGCACCAGGGAGCCCCCCTTCTACATCATCACAGAGTTCATGCCCCACGGCAATCTCTTGGAGTACCTCAGGGAGAATGATGATTCCACACTGCCGGCTGTCACGCTGCTCTACATGGCCTCTCAAGTGGCCTCCGCCATGTGCTACTTGGAGACCAAGAACTTCATACACAGGTGAGCCGAGTTGCGAGCCATGTCATCACAGGCCATTGTATGGCAGTCACAAACTGTCACAGATTAGTCACGGTTCTTCTTAAGGTCAATCGCAAGCCATTACACACCAATCACTTCCCAGCATACGTGAGTTACAGATCAGTCAAATGCCACTGCATGTCAGTCACAAACTGTAACAGATTAGTCACAGACAACTGCATGTCAATTACAAGCTGTCACAGACCATTACATGTCAATCCCAAGCCACCACAGTTTGGTCACAATCCACTACAGGGCAGTCACAAACTATCACAGGTCAGTCCCAGATTATAACACATCAATCACAATCACAAATCAGTCACAGTATAAGTGATTGATATTGAACAGTGAAAATTTTCAAATCTCTTAAACTTTTTTTGAAGGGATCTGGCAGCGAGGAACTGTTTACTAGGTGACAACCACCTAGTGAAAGTGGCCGACTTTGGTCTGGCCAGGATTGTCACAGGGGAGATTTACACAGCCCAGGCTGGGGCCAAATTTCCCATCAAGTGGACAGCCCCGGAGAGCCTGGCCTTCAATAAGTTCTCCAACAAGTCAGACATATGGGGTGAGTTGAAGCACATGACTCCGAATTTGAGAGTCCATGTCACACACTGGATACGATTTACAAAAGAGCTGATGGTAGTGTTTCATGTGTCCCTCCAAGTCTGTGACAAGTCCATGACAGATCCCTGTAAGTCTGTGACGAGTCCATGACAAGTCCTTGCAAGTCCATGACAAGACCCCCCTACAGGCCAAGCCAAGCAAAGACGCATGACATGTGGGTACGGGGTTGCAAGTACGCATGGAACATAGTGCACGTTATCAACTTCCAGCTGTTTTACTTTTGGTATTTTCCTTTTTATCGATCACCACAATTCCAAGTTCCCCTGGATTTTCCAGTTGACAGTGCAGTTAACCACAAGCTTTCTTGTATCCAATTGTTTCCAACAATCCAGCCTTTGGCATTTTACTGTGGGAGATTGCCACTTACGGCAGCTCCCCTTATCCCGGCGTGGAGCTGCAACACGTCTACGAGAAGCTAGAGAGGGGCTACCGGATGGAACGTCCGGAAGGCTGCCCAGGTGACGTCTACAAGCTCATGCTCAAGTGTTGGACGTGGAACCCCGCCGAGCGGCCCACCTTCGTGGAGGTCCAGGAGGAGATGAACAACATGTTCCAGCACTCCAGCATCTCGGAGGAGGTGGAGAGGTCGCTGCACCGGCAGCGGGGGCGAGGAGCAGCCGGGGAGCCCCCAACTCTGCCGACAAAGAACAGGAGCAGTCGGAAGGGCAGCGGGGGTGGCGGTGGGGGTGACGGGGAGCATCACCCCAGAGCAGGGGGAAAGGATGCCCCTGCCAGCCAGCAGAGCGACACCACCAGTAGGTCCCGCTCGTAGGTTTGCCTTGCTCTTGCACTGCTTTCACTAACCTCTGGCAAGGACGGAGTGCTGCTTGTTTTGGGGGGACGAGGGAGGGACAGGAATGCTGTACTGTCGATCACAATGATCCCTTTCAATGTGTCTGTAGGCCTGATCCAGTAAACCAGACTTAAGAGGCGTTTACCGCTGTGGTACCATGCTCACTCGCAAGCTGCACACGTGTTATACATGCGTCTCCCATCCGTAGGGTGTCATGATTTGCCTCAATGCATGCACACCTCATGTTTAAGAATGCGAAATGAAGTGTGGTTCTGCTGCTGATATTGCATCTCCTTGGGTTGGTTTGTGTCCTTGTTGACATTAAAAAAAGTTAACTGGACTGTAATAGACCGATCCATCAAGCCTCACCCCATTGTGCTCTGTCCAATCACAGCTGTGATTTATTCCCAACGTGCGTGCACAATAGTCCGACATGCATGCACGCAGACGTGTACACGATGCACAGAGCTGGAACATGTTGGGCTGCATTGCAAACGAGCGAGCATGAAGTGCCCACCTGCGCAGTGGGTGGGGTTTACTGGGTCAGTCTGTTGTTCTGTTGACTTCATGCAGGCACCGGAGGCTTTCAGTAAATTGCCTCGTCTTAACCCCTTAACGCCGGGATTCTTTTGACGGCGACTGCTGGGCTGCAGTATGCCCAATATGCAAAGCCCTGTCCAGCAGCAGGCCCACATTGAAACCGCAGGTGCATGATGAATAGAATGTATGTGTGGAATGCACTAATCCCCACACAAAGCTGCGGCTGTCGACGTCTCCCGGTGTGAAGGAGTTCAGGATGTTGGAGTTGGTACGCCAAAATCATCACTCTGGAATAAGTAAACCTCGGGAATTCACTGACGAAAAAAATTGCTTCTTTAAAGCATCAAGTGCTCTGAATAGTGTTGGCTTTACCTCAAGTGCTGCTATTCAACGTGAGACATCCCGATAAGGATGTTTATCAAGCGTTGACTGGGAACATCCAGCCGTAAAAAGAAATGTTCTTGAGAAGTATTTTTACCGGGCAAAAAGCAGCACTTGTCCTTGCCATTCCTACTAATCTTTTTCATGCATCTCTCTCACAACTGTCCGTAGTCGGTCTTTTGTACCCAAAGGGACTCAGTATTTCCTCTTGAAAACTTGCCCAATGTTATTCTCCCCCACCCTAAAAAAAAAAAGCATTCTAAAAAAAACCAAAAACATTGTGAAAGTAACTCACACGGAATTCATCTAATTCAGTGTCTACTAGTTATGCAGATTGTCACATCCTGGATTTGAGTGGCAACCCGTCAGTGTGACCACAGATGTATATAAACAAATCTGGACTTGCAATGCCCTAAATCAGCTTATAGAGATCATTGAATCCACAAGTGGCCATTTTACCGAGCCGAATACAAAGCTTGCCCGGCAATGCCTGCCTTTGTTCTCCCTGGCGTCAATAGAAGCGAGCCAACCCGCGCATTTGTATTCGGCTCGGTAAAATGGCCGCTGGTCGGCGTCTTTTTCATACAAAGGTGTTGCGAGTCCAGGTTTTTTTTTATATACGTCCGTGGGTGTGACATGCATAGAAAGTGGACAGAAACTTGACTTGTCCCAAGCATTGTGTACCAGGAACATGGGGGACCAGACTAGAAGTCCGTGCATTGACCCAGGGATACTGTAAACAGCAAACTAGATGTTGCGTTCAGAATGGATTGTTTCATTAGGAGGATGCACTTTGGTGGACTTTGAAGAGGGTGTTCCAGATCCTGGAATGCCGCCCCTCCAAAGCTCTGATTAGGACTGAGATGTAATGATCCTGAATGGACAGTGGGATTGTAGGGGCAGTCGTCTGAGACATACATTAGGAATGACATGTGACCCGCTCCGTGGAAAATGAGCCTGAAGTCACCAGAGCCCCTGTCGGCTTTTTAGTTTGTATTTGGAAAGGGCAACCCCAGCTCTTGGTTTCGATGTATCACTCACAGTGGACATTTTACATGGATTGAAAATGTTGAGAGTTCCTATTCCAAGTGCTACCTCATTGGTTGAAAAGAGCCGCGTTTGTCAGGAATGTTCATTTTGTTGGTATGGTAGTGATGCAGCCGTGACACATACATTTTCCCAGTCAATTGTGAACCAGCAAAGTTCAGTTCTGGCTGAAGACACCTCCAATGGGAAAAACGCCCTCTCCTGAAACTGCTTGGAGCTCTGTTGCTGTACACTTTGCAAGATTCTTTAAAAGGTGCTAAACTCAAAAGTCTCTGGTGACTTGTGTCTCATTTTCTGTGTGTGGGGGGGGTCACAAATGGATCTTGGGGTAATTAGGGTGTGGTTTTGCCTGACCCTTCTGAAGGTCAAATCATACCGTGCCCGGTGATTGCGTAATATCCTGTTCGAAAGCATTGTTGCAAGTTTAAACACTTCTCCAGTGATAGTGGGCCCTTGTTGGAAGAAACAATGAACACTAGATCATCCTTTCATGTTTTCACAGGTAGCATTCAAGCCTGGAATGTTGGCTGATCTCAAGCATCAAGTTTCACTCTTTCTAGCATATTCATTACGTGTCCAAAGAAAGGTTTCCAAAAGAGCCATGTTTAAGTTTCTAAGATCTGTCTAGACTTTCTTTTTGTACTGTTCTGGCCTTGATATTTGACTGTTCTATTCCTGTTTAATTTCCTCATCAGTTTAGAGACTGTTGGCACTTCAGCCTCTTTGATTTCAAGCACAGTTTCATTGTGAATTTAAGCAGAACTTGGTAATAAATTTAAGTGACGTTCGGAGCAGAATATTTTCTTTTAGGGAATTTTTTTTTTAAATCGATGTGTTGAAAACTTGCCAACAGCAGTATTTTGAGGAGCAGAAATGTCTTAAAATAAATTGCTGCGAATGTTTGCATGGCATACGATTTGGAAAAAAAATTTTTTCCTTACTTTTTCCGTTTGCGTGGCTGTGCATCCCTCTTCCGCATTTTTGTGTTCCTTTTCAAACTTATGACAATTGTTTAAATATACATTCATTCTTGAAAGCTTGCAAAACAGCAATCAGCCACTGTGAAATCGCTTAAGCTTGTTCTAGCCATGACTGTGATTTCAAAGCCTGCCTTCTCCCTGTTCATGCTAAGAAAAGTACCGTGCCAAAACAGAGGAAGCTTTTCCGAATTCATCTCATAACTGCTTACTGTCTCAAAGCAGTGCATTTGTACTTTTCCTCCCTCCCTAATTTTTTTTCCGTCATTTCAGAGGCTGTGATTGTAAAAATAAGTACAAGTGGGCAATTCTTGATTCAAGAGGGCGCTGTTGCATTTTAAGTATCCAAAAAGAGGAAGCTTTTGCTGTGCCTGAAGCGTGGCTGCAGCTTGGAGTGACCACCAAACCACTAGGCTAGGACTTCCATCAGCACATGTGTTATTAACTTATTTGTAGCCACAGCCAATTAATTCGGACATGGCTACAGCATGCTTCATTTGGGCTTTTTTTCCAAAGCTTGGCTTCATCTCTGGCTTCGGATCCATTTGTCAACCTTTCATGGAGCAACTGAAAAGTCTCCCATCTGTGATTTTTTTGGGCCGTATTGATATCTGTTTGCATGGTTATTTTGATTGATTTGTATTTTAACACAAATAATTGAGATGCTTTATCTGTTTAAGTAATCTAACTTTTATTTCATTATAGTTTTTCTGTTAGGGAATGAAATGCCTTGATTTTATTTCTACAACAAAAATAGGAGTGTAAAGCAAACCCCTTTTCACCAATTTTTCACCAAGGTTGACCAAAGTCCCAGCCAGTATAGCATCTTGAAATTTCATCAGTTTTCCACATTCATGAACAACAGAGAAATTTTTTGAACCAAAATGCATTTAAGTTACATTAAAGGGTTTCTGAAAGCAAAAGATTTTTCATGAAAATACTAAAATGAGTATAATTTTGTTTTTGTTTGTTTACAGAATCAAGACAAAGCCCTCAAAACTCCCCCGAACATAATCGTAAGAAGCTTCCATTCAAGATTCCTAACTTACCCCGTAAGAAAACGGAGCGTCCCAAGTATCAAGACCAAGGCAGCCACCACCACACCCATCACCAACCCCCAGATAGGCAAGTCAGTGAGGAGGACACAACCCTCCGAGGGCAGCAGCAGCATCACACCAACCACCAGGAGGTTCCTGAGAAACCCCGCCGAGGCTCACCTGTCCACCGGCAGGAGAACGGGACAGCCCGGCTCCCGGACACCCTGCATCAGGAGTTTAACTCTTGCCTCCACAACTCCTCTTCTCATTCCCATGCCCAGACCAGCTCGGAGAGCGGTGGGGATAACAGCGGCGGCTCAGGACAGAACGTGCGCCAGGCACTCCGGCCGCCTGTCAACGGCAGGAAGAAAGGGAGGAAGGACCGTGAGAGGAAGAAGAGCTCGGATGGGGCTGTGACAGGAGAGCAGGACGGGCCCTTCCCCATTCCGCGGTCCTCCTCGTCAAGCCCGACTAGCGAGCGCAAACCGAGAAGGACCGACACACTGCCAGAGGTGACAGAGGAGCAAACCATGAGGCGCCGGGCTCTCAGGCCGCCCCCCAAATTGGACATCAAGCAAAGAGATATCAACCAGGAGACCGACAATACTAAGGAACAGCTGGCCAAGACGAAATCATTGCCATCCTCCAAGAAGATCACTGTGCCGCCCCAAACCAGCCCGCCACAGAGCCCCGAACTGGAGAGCCCCAGGGGGACCTTACCCAACTACGGGACCAGGACCAGGGACAAGGGCAAGCTCGCACGGCCCACCGTGCCTCCCCCTGCACCCCCTGCTGATGGGGTGACCTCACCAACGTCTGAGTCGAGTCCAAGTCCCCACGGCTCCCCTAGCAAATCCTCTCAGGCCTCTTCCTCCAGACCGACCCCGCTGTCCCCCAAACCTCAGATTATCGGACCTAAGCCCATCCTCAGTCCCAAGCCTGACCTTACAAGTCCCAAGTCCCAGCCGCCAGCCCCGACACCCCCAAAACCCCAGAAACGGACCTCCATCCCAAGCAAGCCCCTACCTGGACAGACAGAGAACTCTACCCGAGGTGGACAGATATCCAAGGCCTCCATCCTCCAGCTCTGCGACTCCCTCAGCTCCAAAGCGGAGTCGATACAGGACAACTGGGACTTTGGTCGTTGCAGCGACCTTTGCGCTGACCTGGAAGTGTTTTACAGTACATGCATAAAGTACCTGGAATCGTTGCCTGTCCGGACGCGCTTCTCAGTCCGGGAACACTTGAGCACACTGGACACGCACGTTCAAAACCTGAAAATGAAATCAACGACAGGCTCCAACGGTCAGCTGGGTTCAATCCTCGGCGATGTCCAAAAACAAATGGAGGAAATCCGTTCCCTGATTCAACGATAGCTCCCCGAAGAAAGTGTATAGTATGATATAAATATATGTTATTTCTCTTTACATGTTCTTTTTCGAGGTCAGAGTCTGTTCAGATGTTTGAAACACGTACATGCACAGTATTTCCAATTCAGCCTTCAGACATTGTGTAGTATCACCATGTTCCATTACTTTCACTGCCTGTCCCATTTTTTCAAGAGCTTTCTCTTGAAATCTTGGGGAAGGGAGTGAATGTAACCAGTGGTCCTGCCTGCATAAGCCTCTGTCAGTCCTTGTGTTTGCATGAGTAGAGGATATTGTTTTCCTGGAAGGGTGCCATCTTCGAGATGCCCAGTCAAAAAGCTATTCTCAAACAATTTGATTTTCAGATTTTTTTCTCCCAAGTGGTAGCATCTTCTGACTTGTACAGGAGCAGTGCGTTCCTAAGTGTTATTGTTTTTTATAGTTTATGTTAAAAAGCTTGCACTCTGTGATTGAGGTTTGTCAATGAAGGCCAGGATTGCAAGTGAAATACAGAGATTTCTAGAATGAATTTTGGTCAAGGCTAGTTTTCAGAAAGGGAGCGTGAAGGTATGACCCTCCTTTGTAGTTCCCTTAACATCCTAGGCAGAGGCTGGTCTAAGGAGATGCTGCCATTGAAAAGCTCTAAAAGCTACAATAGCTCTCGGTCAGGGGTTGGCAAAACGCTGTGTTACATTCCATGAAAAATACAGCGACCAGAGCTTGTGGGCAATAGAATTGAAATTTGGAACCAGGCATCTTGTGGACAGTGGTCACCCCTCCAGTTTTTGATAATTTGCTCATATGCATTTGGTGCTGTATGACGCTGGACCCTCCCAAATCCTTCATACTCCACCAGGAGAGGATTTTATAGGTTTGCAAAAGTTGCAGTACAGAGAACGCGACACTGAGTTCCTAGGAATGGGTTTTGGAGGGTTCAGGAAGGTTATTAGCCAAATTTCTGAGGGAAGAAGGGATACTCCAGCAGTCTACCTCTTGCATCTCTATATTGTTGGCATCCAGGGAGAGGATTACCTCCAGGGCAGTGGGCCGCTGGTCTGACCAATCACAGCACAGCTGCTGCCCTCTAGTCATAAAGCGGCTGCCAGATTGGACCAGAGTGACCACAGGGCTATGTGTAATCATCCCCACCCTATGTGCAGTCAGTACCAGATGATCCTTTCTGAGCATGGCTTGTAGAGTCCTAACAAAGATTGTGGGATGGCACAAGTTGCTGAAGGTTCAAAGTAAAGTCTGAGAAATCTAGATGGTTCTCTGTTAGACCCATTGCTTCACAAGAAGCTCCACCCTTGAAAGTTGGACAACCCCAAAATCTTAGCATCAACTTCCCTTGTCTCTAAGAAGGCCCTTTCATATATTGATACACCTCATAAAACCAAGTGTAGGAACATGCGAGGCAAAAACATTTCAAAAAAAAAAATTGATTATATATGTATATGTCATGTGTTGTATTTGTATATGTATTGTAACAATGGGTAATGCCTGCCTTGTATGATAACAAATTTTAAACCAGTCTGCAAACCAAACCTAGGATGGGTACATTTACCCATATTTTTAGAGAGTATCTTGAAACTTGTGCCCCTCGGAATGCTCCATTTGGCACACAGTACGCTCCAAGTGGGAACAAGTAGGTAACCTGGTAGCATCCGAATCTTGGGACTAAGCTAGGTCTAGGTCTTCACTGGTAGGAACACGGCCATATGCTGACGTCCGACTCGGCCATAGCTCTTTCAGTCCATTTCAGACACGGCTTTACTGGTTATCTTGTGAGTGAAACTTCTCCCAATGAATATGCTTGTGTCACGGCAAACTTTCCTGGATACACAAGCAACAGTAAGCTTGTGACTGTAGAATATGCTGTAACATCAACTCAGCCCACAGACACAAGAGACAGAATCCTGCCATGTCATCAACAGACCTGATTGGGCCGTGGACTGATGACGTCACACCTGTGCGCCTCCTGTGGGAACCAGGGTGGGACAACGAAATTGATCCACCATGGGAAAAGGCACAGGTAAACAAAGTGACGTCATCGGCACATAGGCTTATTCCGTAGTATCAACTCTGAGTTGCATAGACACCAGATGACCGTCGACACATTTCCATCACTGTATCATTGGCAAATTGTGCTGCTGTCTTATGTTGTTGGTGTGACAGTCGGTGGCACAGCGTGACATTGCTGAAGTTACATTTACTGGACATTCCTGGCGTTCCAAGTTTCGAGACACTCTCTCAAGAAGATAACGTTTATTTTTTTTTAATTAGAGGATTCCGCCTCCAAACGCCTAGGGTTATCTTGTGCCCATCACTGACTTATACTGTGACACAAATGCTTCATTATGTCATTTTCTTCTCTTAAGCTGTAAAATGCGAAAGTCCATGCAAGAAAAAGATCTGATTTTAAATTTGCTTCCACAAATTTGTTAATTACAGCATTGCTAAATATGGAAATGTGTAGTGTACTTCCTGATAACTATATTTTCCAAAATGGAATAGCAATCTTGTGATGAGGAAGATCTTTCAAAATCTTACATTTGCATTTATTTGATCCGTCACTTTTTAGGTTTGTTCTGATTCTGTGAAATCGTTAATTATTACGGAATTAGTGATATAGCAGTTATTGATCCTCAAATAAAGCTTGCCCTGTTTGATGTAAAGATCTTATAATCCATTTTACTGTATCTGCCCACAGTATGCTTACAACGGTGTTGTCTGTGTAAAAAAAATAATACATTAAGCCAAAGTAATTGAATTTCTGGGTACACAGCTCACACGTAATCTATCTTCAGACTTTCAGATTTATGCTAAACTGTGTAACGCTTTGTGACACTTTGTCTTACCTAGTTTCCTAAGACAGGTGCGTCAATCAGCTTGAGGTATTGAAGGCTTGCATCAGAACTTGTGCATCCAATCGGGCAGCTCCTAAGCAGTACATGACCAGGCCAATGGCCAATCAATTGAACCGAGCAGAGTGGACTTTTAAAAATTTTTCCTGTCTTTCCTAAAATCAAATCAGTATTTTTTTTTCAAGTTGGAAGAGGTAAATTGTTGTAGTTTCATTCATCGTCAGATAGTGAGAGTGATAGCTTGGATATAGAAATATTACGTTTCAAATGCTTATCTTGGAAACAGCCCAGTTATGCAATGATTTTTTAAATGTTTTACGATTATTTTAATTGCAATGAAAAGATTAGGGATGGAGCGTGGAAGTTGCTCAAAGGAAACACTGCTTTTGTTCACTATGCTGAACGCTGTGTCTATTAATGAAGCGTTTGTTAAGACGAACAAATCAACACTTTGCTGTATGCTGTAATATTTGTAATAAAAAGTGATATCTGAAGCATATATAATTCAACTGAGATCTCTCTTGTTTGTTCCTGGTTACCAGTGTTGTCCAAAATATATGACATAGAGCCAGTTCTGTAATCCAACAGCGCATGCTCAAGTGACGCTTGTCAAAGGTCATTGGGGGGACCAGGACTGCAGTAAGCGCCGGGAGGTTTGCCCTATTTTAGAGCGGTCATACGCCGACCATAGAACTAGGCATGCTTTGTTTTCGATTGCCCTCGTCATTTTGATTTGGGCGGGAGATTCTTTTAAAAGATAAATATTGATAGGAGTAACTTTTAGAAAGGCCAAGACCCAATTTATCAATACACAGAACAGTCTGCACCTGTACATAAGGGAAATGGTCTGTTTCAAACAAGACTAGTCTGTTTTTAAAATAAAAATAGACGTCCAGCTGCCTGATGCCGAGTAGTAGGCCTGCGTGAATTCTACTCAAGAGCGGAAGAGCGCCCCCAACGTTGCATGGTTTTGCATCATAAAAAGATGCAAAACCATGCATCGCGTTTTACATCTTGTACTTTATTCTATAGATGACTACAGCAATAACAATACGGGTAAACTCTTGGAATGGATTAAACGTTAGAAACGTGCCTACCAATAATTCCCATATGATATTCCAAGTTCTTGTATTTTCCGAACAAAACCATTTGGTGGGGTAACCGAGCTGTTTAGATGCGTACTCATGCAATTTCCAAGATTAGAAAACCCATCTTCACTTTGAAGAGACAGTGACCTATGATTCGGCAAATTAGCCCCTCTCCAAACTCCCAAACTTGAACCTAGGCCTTACTTCTTGTTGGTATTAAAAAAAAATCCTCATCCCTTTCAGTCCTATCAATAGTTGTAATGGATATGTGCGCTATATAAATATCCAATAATATTACTATTACTATTATTTGATAGTCCAGTTTACTTCCGTAACTGCAATATCACTTTTATCTCTAAATCCACTTTGATTTGTGGGATAACAAAGTCGATAATGCCTGAGCAGTGTGTATTCTATCACTGTTTCTTACGTTTTCCGTAGAAGCATTTAAGACTTTTTGCATTTTTTATTTTCACTTTGTAGCACCCACTTCACCCGAGTTCCATTTTAATTGCTTTTAATAGTGTAGCTCATTTTAGAGAACGTTATCCCATTTTCAACGATTTAAGTGGATTACGTTTGTAGTTTTATGTTTAAAAAAAAAAGAAACAAACAAAGACATAAACAATTCGTCAGTGTAAGTTTACATTCTGCATACCTTGCTGCCAGTTTCCCACGTTACTGTTAAACCAATCACTTTAAAAATGTTTTAAAAATCGCTATACGCACTCCAGACTATTGTTATCTAACACATCCCCCAAGACGTCTGAAATGAGTTCCTCAGATTCCAGTGAATCAA